CGATGATATTTGTTAATATTAATAATAATATGGATAAGGTCTTTTTTTTTTTAATAATTTATATCTTCAACTATAATGTTATTATTGTTAGCTCATGTGTCACCATTTTAGGGATTTTTACATTAGATAGACATCAATCACATACGAGCTTACAAGTGTTTGAAATTCATGTTTTGGTAAATAGTTATCATATATGATTATGTGACTTTTGTTTGAACTTCGTAGAGTAAAAATAAGGATGAGAAAAAAAAAATATAACCCTCTAAGTTGAGAGGTTAGAGATTTTATGTTTCATGATATGAGTCTAGGATTTGTGATCTCCATTGTTAAGGGAGAGGGTCATCCATTATATATGTTATAAATGAGTGTTCAAATACACATAAAGTTGTGTATATTTGGTTTAACTATTTATCGGATCAAGTTGCTTGTAATTATTTGTGTAGAATTATCAAGTTATTTTGATATTGTAATGAGTCATGATCAGTTTTCTCTTAAATCACGGTAAGAATGTGCAGAGTTGGTCATCATTGTTGCACGATATTATTAGGTTGGCTTGTAATTATGCATTAGTTGTTGTCTTGTAATTGTGCATTGGTTCTATTGAACTTTATTGATATGTGCTTTGAGGTTAGAGATCATTATTATTATGGTATAGACCATTGTGATCAAGGAAAATTTGATCTTATCCTATGGTGGGCTCCAAATGTCTTATTGAATTTGTTGAGAATTCAAGCATGAGTTTGAAGTCTTACATTGGGTAGAAATGAAAAAGTTAAGTAACTTATAAGTAAGAAAGACTCATAACCTAATCCTTTAAGGTTTTGGGTTGAAGGTGGTGTCATATTCTCTTATTTGATTGGTTCATGACCCATTTGTGAGAATCTTCCTACTGTTAGTCCCTCGAAAATACCTAACAGGATTATGACTAGTTCTCTTGGTCATATTTGATTATGTACCAAGATTTGTTGTGTTACTTTGATATTGTGTTAGATACTTCAAGGATAGGGAGAAAAACTACCTACAAAAGTTTTACGATGCTTAAGTTAATAAGAGAGTAAAAATATCAATATCATATTTATCATGAATAAAAATACTTTTATATAGATAGAGAGTATTATATATTTAAGTAACTCTCGGTAAATTCAAGATATTTTATCTATAATATCTAAAAAACTTATCATTTTGAATCATTTTATTTGGGTAAGTACAATACTAACTAGGTAATTTAATCAGTTTCAAATATTAGATGATTAAATAAGAATAAATAGTAATGAATATTAATCTTTTTTTTTTAAGAATTATTAACAATTATTTAAAATAATTTTAAAATATTATAATTAATAAAGAAAAATTAAATTATTAAAAAAAATTGTTTGGCATGTAAACCAAAAAATTTTAAAGTATGGTTAAAATCAAATTGTCAAAACACTACTACAAGTAACAATATTTAACATCGGTTCTATAGCGCATACAACATCGATTCTATATCCGTTGTTGAAAAGGGTGTCGTTGAAAGTCAACACTTTCAATATCGATTGTAAAATAATCGATATTGAAAGTAATATCTTAAAATATCTGTTATCAAGTAACCGATGTCAAATGTTCGTTATACATGTGTAAAATGACCAAACATATTACATTAATTAATCCTTTAATCGATGTTGAAAGTTCATTTCCAGTTTGCAATTTTCTCTTTGTTTATATACTAATCTTACATATAAACAACAATCAACAATATAAAACAATTCTACTTAGATATGAAACAATCCCAAATATATATAATAATTCCAAACAATGTATTGTTCATAATAATGTTCATAGAAATAGGTGACAACAATTACAACCAAACCTAGTTATCTACAAAATTCAGTACAACATGTTTATTTTCTCATAATTTTCAAAAGTTTTGATGTCTATTTATTTTTTACATCTTCAATTATCTCTTTAGACAATGATTCTTTTTCTCTAAACACGACGTAAAACAGATTATGCTTAGACCTTTTATATTCTCATTTCTCATGGGTACTTGATTTTTAGAAGGTTACATATTTCCCTGTTCATTCCTTTAATCTGATGTTGATATGAAATGAAATAAAAATAAATAAATGATCCTTTGAAATTACTATGTTGTACCCAAGAGTGTAAAAGGATAAGTGTTGGGTATTGATAAGTGTGTTTTTGTACATGTACATAGTTTAAATCTTAGCATTTGTGTGCTCAAATTGTCTTTAAATCTACTTTTTAACAATGATTTGTTCAAACGAGGTTAAATGAGCTTTGAATGAGAAAACATACTAAAATAAGTTTTTTAAGACATTCTAATGTGTACATGTGCCGTTGTAGTAGAAAGAAGCTCATGACTCATTTATAGAAGATATAAGATTGATTTATCCAATGCTTCATTGGACTTAGATTCGATGGCGAATCTTGACCATTGATTCTTAGAGGTCAAATAATATATTATTAAAAAATAATAAATAAATATAAAATGGTGAGAGAAGATGAAAGGGTGAGAGAATAAAATTGTAAATGTATAAGTAAATATAACATAATCGGACAAAATCATAAATTACATGAGAGTTACAAAACTGATGAGAGGATAAAATTGTAAATATATTAAAGTTTGAGGATTAAAATGATAAATTACATGGGAGTTACAAAATTTTATGAGGACTACCGTCCCCTTCAGTTCCTAAGAAAATTCATCACTGCTTAGACCGTCTTGGTTATTATTCTAAGTAATATCTGAGAGATATTTTTATTTAGAAAAACGTTGTTATTCACAGTCAATATTTAATAAAAAAACAAATTAAGATTAATCTCTGCCATGAAATTTGCAACGTGGAAGGAAATGCCAAATAAAGAGATTTTCAACTGAAGCAGTTGCTATGAAACCGCAAATAAGATCAGTAACAAAAATCAACAAGTATCATACATGATCTCATCTCAACACATCTCATTCAACTCTTCACTGTTTTAGTTGTTTGTACTGCATTATCTTCCACATGGAAGGGTAAAGTGTCGTAGGTTGATTCTTCTGTAATCTTTGAATGGATTTTGAGGTTGAGTGTTCATTTAATTCTATCAAACAGGTTTACTTGCATCTGTTCTTTTTTAATTTTGATTTTTGTTTTAGGATTGTTTTGAACTACAGTTTTTCAATCTTATGTCTTTATTTAAAATTCGTTTCAGATCTCTAATAACCTCTTGTTTAAGTAAGAACTTTACACTGTTTGCATGTACAGATGTAGTTTAAATTGTACTATATTCAGAGTTGGACTATAGTAATTAATGAAGTGCTTAGAGTCTTTATTGGACAATAGAAATAAGTTAAATGAACTCACTGGTTGGCTGAATTGGAATTATATGCGTATTTGATTAACAAGAAGAGGTAAAAGGATTTATAGGATTTTACACGGTTATAACTATACATAGGGTTCTTGCTAGTACACGATTGGAACAAGGAAGAAACTTAACAAATTAATTGATGGACTATTTGATTAATTTTAAATCTCTTTGGAAAATGATTGAGTAATAGTTAGATAAAAACCACCGAAAAATCCTGTGATGAGAAAGTTCGAGAATTAATATGTTTTTAACATATTTGTTTTTTAGTCATTATTTACTGCTTTTTATAAAACCTCTTTTTTTTTTTAATTAATATTTCGTCTAACCCTTTTCTGTAATTTAAGAATATATTTTAAGTGAGTTCTTACACAGAATTTATTATGAGACAATCCGAATTAGCCTTAACCCCTTTCTATATTCTATTGAGTTAATATTTTGTGTAACAAACATTTCATTTTTTAAGGCAATGGATAATTAATACAAACCATTAGATGATTAATAGAAGATTCACATCTATTTAACAGCTACAAAGACAATGATCATCTATATTATGTAGGAATCTATATTAGGATAGGAATTTAAACGAGAACCAACTTATAAAACTTAATTATTATATAAAAATAAATATAATATATAAAATATTCAACATTATATTTAAGATTATTTGTTAAATTTAAAATTTTAGGACTATATATTATTTTATTATTTATCGTATCTTTTTTCTTGAAAAAATAAATATATAATTTTTTTAAAATATCTCTAAAATTTAGTATAATTTTTTTTTACTTTCATTTCCTATATAGTTTAATATCAAAATAAGAAATCATAAAATATTAAAATAACTAACTTATTTATTGTAATAAAATTTGTTTATATTAATATTTTATAATTTTATACTTTATTAAATACGCTAATTTGTTATAATAAATAATAAAAAAATAAATTTTCTAATTGTTTGTGTACTTCTAAAAAAATATTGTACGAATATTTTTTTTATATATTTTTTAATTTCTTTGTATTTCTTCAACGTTAAAATATCTTTATTACATGTCTCTCCCAAATCTCTATACCCATTTTTAGTAAGCTTAATTCTTCTTATTAGAATAAACAAGATCAAATTTATCTCATGAATTTTGATATTGTTATATTGAAAAAGAAGCTAGCTACATTATAAAGCTTGGAAAAAAATCTAATGGACTAATTTAATATTAAAAATTGAAAATACTAAAAAAATGTATGGGGTTAGTGGAAGAGTTTTCCCAATCAATTGATAAGTATTGTTGTTTGAACATTGGTGATTATATTAATCCCCAGAAATTTGATGATTTTTTTTTCTAAATTTACTTATAAACATAAAAATGAATTAAATAAAAGTATAATAAATAATTATCGGAATTTATATTATTTGTTTTAATGTAATAAATATATATACTTATATTTAATTTTGGAATATTTATATACAAATAGGTTTTACTAATAAATAGATGAGTGTTGCATTTAGATTAAAAAAAAAAAAAAAAAAAGACGAAACGAAAAGAATGGACAAATGCAATAACATTAAATTCTTTGCTTTATAGAACCAACCAAATAAAATGCAGTAACCAAAGTGCATCTGACACACAAAAAAGCACATAATCCACGTCCAGGGCAACCTAATTTGAAGGTCGCAAACGTCCAGCCAACAACACGGCCCAATCTGAAAATAGAGTTTGACTTTGATCACCAAACAAACACGGATCAAGGACAAGAAGAAGGCGAAGAGTCAAACGACGAAGTAGATCGAGGATGGTGCTGAACAGCAACGCGGTGGCGAGAGTGGCGCACGCATCAGCGCATCTTTTCCAATTCATAGCTTGCAATCCCGAAAGGCTAAGCAGCGATGTCGTTTTGCGCCTCCTCTTCTGCCTCCCTTTCCAATACTTGTTCCGTTCACTCTCTTCCTACCTTGGCTATCGTCATCCACACTCCGATTGAGATTCCAATTCCTATATCCTCTCTGTATGTATATGTATATACCATTAATTATTATTGTTGTACATTAATATTTATATTTTTGTTTTTCATTATGTCTTTTCTAGGTTTTTGTTTAAATTTGATTTAATGCTGTTTCTGTTTGAATCGCTCGATTCATTTTGTAAATTGGATATGGAAGCAAGGTGAAATGAAATTAGTTAGTTTAATTTATTTTATTCTGAATTGTTTGGCACGAGTAGCAATGAGCTAAGATACTGAATTTGAATTTTATAGATAAAAAACACTTGTGATTCAAAAGAAAAATAATTTACCAAACTTTCCTACGCTGATTAACCATCGATTTTGTGGATTAATACTTTCTCTCAATGGTGAAAAAAAGACACTGATTTATTGTGTTTTAACCTTTTTATGTTATGGTTTCTTTGTTTTTGTTTAACGAGTGTACAAAAGAGCATTTGGGTGATGGCTACAAGTGGCTATATTATTTATTCATGGCTGCAAAGTTGGAGGGTTGTGAGCAATACTTAGACGCCGAGATTTGATAACTATGCAGGATTTTTATGTATCAGAATGATTAAAAATATTCTCAGTTTAAGTGTAACTAGTGTAGAAAATTTCTATTTCAATTTTGGGAGAGTCAAAATTGAGTAATGAAGTAGGATAATAGATATGAAAATTCCTTTCTTCTCTTCATCTCTTCATGATTTTCTCTTATTCAGATACTATGTCGTTGTACTTCATCTCTTTACTACAGTGTTCCCAATCTGGACACACAAATCGGCTGGCTGGGTACTCAGTTTTCATGGGTGGGGCAGGGACGGTAATGGTAATAAGTTTGAATTGTGATGCCGCTATACTTTATTATTTCATCATTTTTTTGAACATTGCGTTAATGAGAAGTGAAAATATTCGAATGATATGCAATGGTTTTACTCAAAAGAATTGTCCTTCTTGAAAAGAGGGCACCAATGTATGAGGTCGACCAATTAACAATTTTAACATCATGCAAGCAAGTAATACTCTTCAGTTCAAATTAAAAATATGATTCTGGAAGTAGGTTACTCCAACAGGATTGTAATTCTTTGTCTCAATCATAACACGTATGATTAATGGATTAAGTACATAAATTTGGTTTGGAGAATTGATCGATCAAGAGTTTAATTTCTGAATAACAATGTTATTTCACTTTGCTCTACGAAGGGAGACTCCTTAAAATTAACTTCTCCCATTTTCTTTCTTCCCTGTGTTCTCTTTCTACCTTTGTTGTTCACATCTTCTGCTACAATAGTTGGTGCTTGTTTTCTTGTGCTATTTTTGCTTCATTCTTGTTCGTTTTTGTTTTTTCTTTTTCTTTTTCTTTTTTTTTCTCCATCATATCTAATGGAAGTCAAGGGTCACCTGATCTTCATAGTGTAATATGTTTTAATGAATGGTAATGACTTGGCAGCTTGTAGGACAAAAACTATATATATATATATATATATATATATATATATATATATATATATATATATATATATATATATATATATATATATATATATATTTTTTTTTTTTTTTTTTTTCATATATTACTAAGTGTAAATGCTATTTTTTTCCATAAAAATCTCAGTGATGTACAGTAATTATTTTGTCATAAAAAGTAATTATGTTGTCTTTTTAAATCTTAAGTATGACAAGTAAACCTTATTTTCTTTAAACTTAAGTGAAACACACACTATTAACATGTTTGAATTAATTTATTATATATTAAAAATATGAGTTTAATAGGAGTGTATGGAAAAGTTTGTTCATTGTTAACCAATAAAAGTAATTGTTGCAATATTTTAAGTTGTTTATTTTAGCTTAAATACCTCTATGGGTGAGAAAAAAGTGAACGTGTGTAAAAAATCATTAAAATTCGAAATTATTAAATAAATTAAAATAAGTTAAGTACAGCTCAAATCTTGTTTAAAATTCAAGTCGAGTATACTTAAATCAACGACAAATGGGTATCTAAATTACTGGGATACAAAATAATTAAACAAACTAAAATAATTTCATATAAGTTGATTATTAAATAAATTAACAAATTTAGCCAAGTAAAATGTTTTTTTTTTCTCTCTCAACGGGAAACCGTGTAAATGTTTTTTTTTTTTTTTTAACTATTTGAAAGAAAAACTATTTCAGTGGTTGTTTAGTAGCTAAGAATAGTTTGGCACACACACTACCCCCCATGAAGAGCACCGTGACGCCATCGACGAGGGCCTTGCCCTTTCGTCATCTAAATGGCAATAATACCCTTCCCTTCTTCTCTCTCACACGCTACCCTTCTTCCTTACCAAACTTCTCTTTCTCCCCTCTGTCTCTCACTCTTTCCATGGCGGCTTCACCCCAATCCTCCGCTCCGGTATCTCTCTATTCTCCTTCTTTCACGTCTTTTCTTCCACCCAATTAAATCGTTGATACACGCTTCAAAATTTGAACTTTGCAACACATGTTTGGAATTTTGGAATTTTTTTTTCTTGTTTTTATATCTGTTTAATTGGGTGATGGAAATTCTGAATATCTCAATGATATGAAGTCTTTGTTCATTCTGTGATGATCAAAGTTCATGAATAAGTAATAATATTGTGTTGGTGATGGTTTTTGAACCAGGCTATGTCGCGTGGTGATGCTAATATCGACAAAGATGGTATCTTTCAATTGATTAAAGTACATCAGGTAATTCATATCAGTTCTCAGTTCAACTCAGTTTGTTGCGTGTGAACTTGGAAGTAGTTGAAATAGAATGAATATTTATTTGTGCTTGGTCGTGTATTAATTTATTGGGGTTTGATTTGCTATGATAGGAAAAAGCAGCTAGACTTCCACCAGTTGAGGAAATTCGAACTGTCCTTGATAGTAACGTCCGCGGGATGCTCTCTACATTCTCTAAGGTTTATGTATTTTTCTTAAGAAATCAGATTGTAAAAAAAGGGATAGCTTTAAGTGAAAAAAAGTAAAAATGCTGAAAGCATCTTTGAGCATTACCAATACTAGGAGACATGGAGAGAGGGAAATTTTACCTTTCTGGAAGTGTAGTTGTGTTATTTCTTTAGTGGCTAAATTTTCAGATATTTCTGGTGTCAAAAGACCAAGGGATTTACGGACATTCCCACCGAAGTAACAGTAATAATAACAGAATTGAAGTTTTTCAGAGAAATGAAATTGAAATCTGACTGCCTTCTGAGTTCTGTCTTCATATATTTGACATGGAATTTTATTTGTGTTTATTGGAAAATAACTTAATCTGGTCTTCTTTGATTTTTAACACGCAGAAATTTGAGGGTTATCCCTCAGGGTCTATGGTTGACTTTGCATGTGATGCTAATGGATATCCTATATTAGCAGTGAGCGACCTGGCAGTTCATTCCAAGGTTTTTCCTTTTTCTTTTCTTCCTCCGAAACTTTCCTATTGTTACAAAATGATAAATATAAATAATTTAAAGATTGAAATTGCTTCTGGTTGTGAACTGACTTCAAAAGAAATAGAATTTGATGTTGAATGCAGTTTTCTGAACTAGCTTATAAATAAGCATTCAGTATATTGTGCTGAATTTGGAAAGTACAATACCACAAGTTCAATTTGAAATCCTATTTTACATGTCCACAACCATCACATGGTCTTGTTAATAATTGTAATTCATGAGAACACCTTTTGCTACCGGTACTTACCCAGTTAGTTAAAAGCTTGCTTCCATTGCTAAAGAGCTTTTGTTATCTTGCAGGACCTAACTGCCAACCCTAAATGTTCATTGCTTATTGCTAGAGATCCTGATGATAGGACTGATTTAGTGATTACTTTACATGGTGATGCTATCACTGTAAGTTATTACCTTCTGTTTATTTCCCAGTTATACATGATTTTCGTTTCCATTTACTATTGCATATTGCATGATATAGTTATTATATTACAAAAATCTTATACAAAGGTTTTGCAGTTTAAATGCATTGCTGAAAATTTTTTCAGGTGCCTGAAAAGGATAGAGAAACTGTTCGAGCTGCTTATTTGGCGAGACATCCCAATGCATTTTGGGTAAATTTGTTCATCATTCGCCTCTGTAATTTGTACCTTTTCGTTCTTATTCTTTTTTAGTTAACAACTCTAAAACCTTCCAATATTGAAGGTTGACTTTGGAGACTTTCGATTCTTGCGCATTGAACCTAAAGTTGTACGATTTGTGTCAGGTGTTGCCACAGCTTTGTTAGGATCAGGAGGTTTGTTAACCTTGGCATTCTTGTTTGTTGGTTTCAATTGCTGTTAGTGCCGTTTTGCAAGGTTCTTTACTTATGTTTGGATGGATGAGTTTGGAGGGGAAGGGAAGCGAGGATAAAATAGAATATTATGTTGTAAACTTGTCATCATCTTAGTAAAGTCAAGAAAGCAGCTTTTTAGAATACTACATAATAGTTAGTTGTTAGAATAATGGAGGTTAATTATGTTAGATATGCTGGGCAGTTAATGTGTTAGGGGCAGGGAGTTAGTTTAAGCAGGAGGATAGGGTAAAGGAGGGAATGGTGGAAGGATTATTCATTATGGTTGAAGATTGAATGTAAGAGTGGTTGGAAGGCAATAGGAGAGGTTTTGTGGGTTTTAGGATAGCTTTCATTTTCATTGAAAGGAGTGCTAAATCATTGCATTTTGTGGTAAATTTTTTATCGTGTCAATATATACTTAACTTTTGTTGATCATAATGCCTTACCATCAAAATTGGATGCTTTAGGAATGAACAAGTATCATCTCTCGATCGTAAGTGAATTTCACTCGTTCTCTATATTATCCTTATGTTTTGCATTTTCTTTTAATTTTGATTTCAGAGTTTAGTGGAGATGAGTATAAATCTGCAAAAGTGGACCCCATAGCTCAATTTTCCAAGCCAGTGGCGGTAGTGATCTCTAACTGACCATCATGTTACACATCTGCAATAACTTTCAGAAGCCAGTCATTTTTTATTCTTGTGTAAGTTGTGTGTTTTTACAGTCTCATATGAACAAAGATCATGCTGATGACAACAAAGTGATTGTGCAGCATTGGACCTCAGTTCCAGTATGTCATCTTGACCATTCTACAGTATACAATATAAATAATAAAAGAGGCTCTTTGGTTCAACTGCTAGTGTCGTGTAAAATGACTTGGTTAAACCAGTGTGCAATATGATATCTTAGTGTGTGATGTGAGTAATATTCCGTAGGGTGCCATATGGTCAGGCACAAGAATCTACGGTAAAAAACATAAAACAGTATGTTCTGCGGGAGGGAGGGGCTGATGATGTTCAGCCTTAATTTAACTGAATTGATCATCATCATCATCATCTGCAGGTGGACTTTGCGTACATGCTAGATTTGGATAGTCTTGGTTTCAATGTTAAGGTACTGCCTTCATTAATATTATTTAACTGTTCTCCCCATTCCATTAGGAGCTTATAAAATAATTCAATTCACTTATAAATTTGACAAATGAAACCTTCAATTAGTTGGTCCTTTGCATTTAGTCTTTTATTCTCTCCAGCTTTGTTTTAATTTTTTTTTTTTTTGTTATTTTGATTTTGAAATCTATATAAAATAATTAATCTTTTTTTGTAGGCTGGTTATCAGGGCGATACTTTCAAGCTTCGTGTACCTTTCCCTCGACGTGCAGAAGATAGAAAGTGAGACATCATATTTTATATAGACTCCCATCTCCTGCATAAAACCACATGGACATGTCTACATTCATAAGACCAATTGTGCTCATCTGTTTTCCTGTTTACTTGTGCAATTCCATTCTCATGTGAACTTTGATGAAAATGGTAGCATGACTGTTTTAGTGTAGGCTTTCCTGTTTTTGAGTTAATTAGACTCTAACATTTATCATCATTTTGGGATGGTATTAATCATGCGCAACACTTCTTGCTGAATAATTAGATTGCGAGCTTCCTATTACCATGGGCTATGGGTTTCTGATAAGGAGTTTGGAAGAATAACCTTTCCCTGCAGCATGTTGGTTTTATTTTCCGCAGAGAAAGAAGTGATTCTTTTATTGTTTTTTCTTGTAGGGATGTGAAGACTCTCATTGTTGAGATGCTTCAAGCTGCTAGGCCTAAAGCTGAATGATGACTCCACATACCAATGATAAAAAGGTACTCATCCAAAATTCACCTTATCCTTCAATCAATTCAATTCATGTGGTTCAGACTCCTAGTTTGTCATTTTTCTTTCAAATATCAGTTGACCATGCCTTTCAACTAGATATACCTATATTAATAAACCTTGCATAAGTTTTCGTCTGCTACATTGAGTTGCCTGGTTTTGTAGTCAAAGGGACGTTTTCAGTCTTAAATTGGATTGTAATAAAGCCTGCAAAAATGTCAAAAAAGTAGTGAAGGAGACGCTTAAAAGATGGGATAAATGCTGCAGCACCTGCCAGACATCCTTCTTGGGGAGAGGAAAATATACACGTCGAAAAAGTAAATGCATTTATAATTTCTAAAGATGACAAAACAAATGGTTGACTTTCTTTATTTCTTGTATATACACTATCTGTGATTTTCATGAGGGAAAAAACTTACTCAGATGGTATGTTGTTTTCTCAAAGAAACAACCCTTTTATATACATTAGCGATTTTACCTGAATTTCTTTCAGGTGTACTATTGTTATGAATAACCCCTTTGAGAAACAACAATAATTATTTATTTTTAGTACATCGAACCGTAAGTTGTGAGATAAATGCTGTGCCATCTCCCAAACATTCTTTGCATTGTGAGCACGTACTTGATCTATTCACAAGTTCAAAGGAAATGAACACTCGGAAACTACATCTGCGTTATGAGAGAAAGTACAGCAAAATCACATCTGTTTATCTCCTGCGATGATGTTTGTTCTTTTGACTGAGAGAATGTTATGTCAATCAAGTTTGCTAAACGGCCAAGGACTTAGCCCATTCCATGCCCTCTTTTTAGATGTAGCTACTTCTGCTTGCTTAAAAAGAAAGCACTATTGGGAAGTTTGAGTTATTACACCTAACGGATTCTACAACTTGTTAACATTGTTTGAGGGAAATCTATCACTGATTTAATCCAAACAAGATCTAAAGAATTAAAGTGTTTGGAAAACCGTATATAACACACAACACATGCTTATCGAATCTTCTCTTAGAACTTGTGAACGTAAGTAAAACGGTAGTTAATAATACTATTGAAAAATTTATCATTACATGTGACAATTATTTGATGTTTTGTAGAAAGAAAACATTTTTTTTTTAAATCCCATACTCTACCAAATGATCTTACGATATAATGAGAGGGCGTTATCACAATATTTTAAAATTATGTCATTTTATAATTAAAGATAGGTTCTTTCTATACAACATCACGTCTAAAAGCTACCAAAATTGAAATATTACCTTCAAAATCACAAAATACACTATTATAGCTGTCTTAGGAGTTAATGAGTCAACTTTTTTATATTTGTGCGATTTTATGAAGCGTTATACTCTGAACTTTTATCACATTTATATTCATTCTTTTCTTTTCAATGACAAAAAGGTCGATTTTCGTGGCAAGTCAGTTTCATATCTAGCAAAGAACTTGGGTGACATATTTGTTGTCACATAGTAGCCGAAAACAAAAGCCAACCAAAGACCAAGAGGGAAAATATTTGCTGCCTTATGTTTCTTTCTTTCATCGATCAGTCGTTTGTTTCTTATTCTTTTTCGCTAATTGATCTTAGGAATAATAAAAGTTAAAAATTAAAATGTTTCACGTGTTACAACTACCTCACTCGCCAATGTTGTGAACACCGCCAGAGGGTTTTGAGGGATCAGGGACATTTTCGATAGCACACAAAGGCACTTCATAGGCTTGACCACGTTTAGCATAATTGAAATAACCACTTAACATACTAAGCATAATGAAAAGAGCTCTCTACTCCTATTAATTTTCAACCTCAAGCTCAAAATAACTAGGATTTCGTGAAGATTTGTGTACAAAAACGCACATGGTCCAAAATTCCGAGATTCACTTTAATTCGTTTTTATCAAAATCTTATTTGCACTAGTGTTTGTAGAACCCACGGTGGTTCTACAAGTGGATGATGCTTAATTTGGCCTCATGCTATCATGCCGAATGATGGATATGCCTAAGGCTTACAATCCTTCAAGTTTTTCTTTCCTTATTGGTGATAAATCTATCTAATAATAACTTTCAAGGTTCTGACGGTCAAAAACTAAATGATTCTCAACAACAGCCAAAGGTACATCGTCCTAGTGTTTATATGTCAGCGAACTAAAACCGTGGGGCATAGAATACGAGTTTTACCAAAAGATCATTCAATCTCCACCCTATACCCATTTCATCAATGTTTATCTCATACAAAAGTATAAGAAACACCATGAAGGGGGTTGCTTAAGGACTGCACACATCACAAAATTTGGATCAAGGAGAGAGATGAAGAATGATAAGAGGTGAGAAAAATAATTTTCTTAATTAATTGAAATGGATCGGATCGGATCTTCTCGTTTAAAAAGGAAAAAAAAAAAATGAGGGGGGCCAAGATACATGCCACACAAATATAAAAAAAACTTGACTCATCATCGTCATCATAATCATCATGCGCCATCTCCAAAACAATTCATGCTTAAAAGGGCTTTTTTCTCCTTCCCCCTCTTCTTCATCCACCATCATTCAGAATCACTCTCCATGCTTCCCATGGCCTTCAACCCTCTTGGTCTCTGCATCCAAAAGAGGTGTGGTGATATATAAACAAGTTTCACAATTCAGATCTACTCACAAAAAAATAGGGTAACAACTAACAACCCCACAACCACCAACCACATACCTTCTTGTTACTTTTCTTCTCCCGAACTTCATATCTCTCTTGGCACATATCAGTCAACCACGCCCCAGGGCTCACCAACTGTAACCCAACACCAACATACAAATACAAGATAAGATGGTGAGAATAAAGATCAGTCCAACCAAACCACCCACCACAATTTTCCCTTTTATTGCCACAAAAACATAATGCCCTTTTCTTTAAAGAGAGAGAAAAACTTACAAGTAAGCTTCTTTGGATGAGTTTCGCCCTCTTTTTTGGTCGCTGAGGAAGCTTGCAACCCTTCATGGCCAGAAAGTCTTCCTCTTTCTCCTTGCTTGAAAGAGTGATGTAAAGCTTTGGCCACACTAGGGCTCGATCCTCGCCGTTGTTACCGTCGCCGGTGACTTTGCCGCTCTCCTCCGCCGAACCCCTCGTCGTGTAGTACCGATCTTCCTTCTCCGGCGACGCTGATTTCCTAGTCTCGCCCACCGACGACCGGAGAATCGCTCCATCGGAATTCCTGCACCCAAAATTTCGATCAAAATTCGCTAAAAAATAGCAAAAAAAGGGAAATTTCAGACATTATCGAAGAATTAGCAGATCCAATGCCATATTAATCTGATAAACAAAAAAAAAAACGACTTGAAAACGGCTACACTCATAAAATACACGCTTACCCCATCTGGGTATGTTAAAAAAACCTTGATTTTTCACATAAAAACTTCTTCTGATCAGAAATTATTTGTAAAAGAAAAATGACTTTTTTTGTCCCTCGGCTGCTTCTCTTCATCCTCTGAGAAAATTCCCAGCAACCCAAAATGGGGAACCACAATACATTCCAACAATCAAAACCCCATTTTCTTCTGAAAACCAAACATAAAGAAATAAAAGTGAAAATACGAGAAAGAAAAGAAAAAAGCTTCTCCTTGATGCCGTGCTTAATTAATTGCTTTTCTTCCTCTACTTGGGTAGAGGGAAAACGGCATCATTACATTCCGTCATCAAAAATCACATCTTGTCTGGGAAACCAGCCAGAGCCAAAATGAAAAATTATGAAAGGGGGGAAGAAAATTATGAAGCCCCTTAGTTGATGCTGGTGTTGTAAGCACCTTGTGAGGCGATTGGGTTGTTGATGATGATTATGAGAGGCTTCTTTCTCCGCCACAGTGACCCCAGAGCGATGATCTAGTGCAGAACCAAGTTTCCTTCTGATTCCACCGTTGAGCCTCGTTGAAATCCGAGGGTCCTTCACCCTCACACATCTCAGCCGCTTCCTGTGCCCCCACTGCAAGAAAAACTCTGGCTCCGAACCCTTGCACCCTTTCTGGTTCCTCTCTTCTGTCTCCATACCTAGACCACACAGCACAACAAAACCGCTCAACAAGCTTCAGTTTTTCACCACACACATAAAGGGGAACAAAACCGGCAAATGGAGAAACAAAAACCCAATTCGGGTTAAGGGTTGTATGTGGTGGATTGTGCAAAACGAGATTCAGATGAAGAGTAGAATACCAAACGTGAAGGATTGCCTCCAACCTCAAGATCTGCTTCTCTGATGAGACAATCCTCTGTAAAAAAAAAATCTGCCACATAAAACCAAGGAAGGGGTCAGAAAAAGGAGCGTGGGAAGAGAAGAAAAAAACCCTTGAGTGAGCACAAGAAGAAAAAGACCCGAGTGAGAACAACAAGAAAAAACTTACAATGATACAAATTCAGGCTCAGAGATGAAGGGTATGTGTTTTCCTCTGCAAACAACAACAAAGGGGGAAAAAATCACAGATCTTCTTGTCTGTAATTAAATTTGCAAGTTTTTTCTTTTCCTTTGCAGAAACGTTTTCTTTCAATTCTTACTCTCCCTCATCTCTCACCTCTCTCTATCTCTATCTCGCAGACGTGATGGATGGATGGATGTGTTCGTGTGTTTTTTTTGCAGAAGTTTCTCTCTCTATGGGAGTTGAAATGGGGTTTGAGGGTTATTATCCTCTTCTCTTCTTCTCTTGTGTTCTTTTGCGAAATGGCCATTGATGCTGTATGGGTTTGTGTATTTATCCTTCTGGTGAAGTGATGGGAAAACTAGAGAGAATCAGGGCCGTTGGATGGGAAGAAAAGGGTTTGGTGATTGATCACAGTTTTGGGGGACCCGTTCCCTCAGACTCTTCTTCCCTCTCTTCTCAATAATTGTCAAACATAAAATTAAATAACAAAATAATTTAATCATTTTCTAATTGTACATTCGAGTGGGGGAGGATGGGGTTGGTATTAGACCCAACCTGCTCCAATCTAATTCCTTTGGGCTTACTTTTGGGCTGGGTTGTTACATATTTTATTAAATTTTTAATATCATAACAGGTTCACAAACATAATATAATTTATAATGAAATAACAAGTCATTAAAAAACTTTTAAAGAAAAAATTCACATTATTTAATATTTTTAAGCTATCATTGGAAGAAATCATTATTTTACACACGCAATAGTTACTACTACGAAAGAAAGAAACGACATGTAGGACCTAAAATTTTTTTACCATTAGAAAAAATAATTGTTAAAATTACAAAGAACACCAATATTATTATAAAATATATAAAAATAATAGGACTAAATAAATTATATGATTGTAAACGCTGTAATGGGAATAAGCTTTTGTTAAAATGTTGTAAACATGTTGTGGTTGCACCTGTCATTCTATCAACATTTCATTGCTGAAAACGACTAGAACGTTGCAGAGAAAAGAATGACAAAATGTTTTTTACATTAACCAACCAAATAATATATATAATAATAAATAAATAGATAAGGAACTAAAAGTGAATTGCGACAAACATTTTAATAAGAATTTATAAAAAAAAATGAATAAAGTTCTCACATAAATAACCTACAGAAATATAGATAAGATTTAAAAAAAAAAGACAGTAGTTTTTAAATTATATATGGATGAGTTATTTCAAATTAATATGAAGTATTTACTAACTTTAACTTTAAATTGAAACCCAATTGCACATAATAATCAATATTTCATTCTATACGTAATAAAATAACGATAATGTTATTATTAGTTAATTAGTTAGGTCAATCTCGATTAAATTTATTATTTTTTAACGATACAGTAAATATTAATTATAAATCTCATTGTAATTGATAAAAAAATTGATAAATTGTCCTCCAGTTTATTTAACTTAGAAGTACAAGTAATTTGATTATATAAAGAATGCATATTTTATAAATTAAGTTAAAATAATTATAAATAAAAAAATTTACTAATTTTTATTTATATATAAAAATTTTTTTTTTAATTTCTTTTAAGATATTTCCCTTTTATATTTTTCGAAATGTCTAACACACCTTAATATTTTTAATTGAGAATAAAATAGTTATGTTTTTAAAAATTAATCTTTGAACATGTAGGAAAATTAATATATTACATGTATTATATAATGAAAATATTTTATATTATATGGTAATAATATAAATTAATTATATTATTATTATATTATAATTAGTATTAAATAAATATAATTTACTATTTAAAATATCAATATATAAATAAAACTATTATTCATTAAGTGACTTTTTTTATTATTATTCTCTTTTTTTTCTTGTACTTATTTAAATTTTATATTGTTTATCAGGTGAATCTCCTTCTTTTTCTTTTTTTCAATAAACATCAAAGTAACAATTATCAAGACCGATTTATCTAAATTTATTTATTATTATAATTTTTTTAAGAACATTTAGTATTAACCATGAGACAAGTAAAAAATTTTCTATTCATATAAATTGGGAACTTTGATTTTTTTTTTTTAATTATTCTATCAATTAAAAAAAAAAGAATTTTGCAATTCTTGTTAAAAAATAAATATATCTTTCATTTTATATTTTTAAGTTAATTCTAGATCGATGATAATTCTTTATATATTAAATCATTTAAAATATTTAACTCGGAGGAAATGAAATTTCTTTTACATAGAAAGAAAATAATTCTTTCTCTTATTCAATCTCAAGAATTTTTTAATACTCTTTTAAAAGTATCTTACGAGAGAAGAAATAAGGTACAAATCTCAAAATAAAAATAAAAAAGAGGATATTCACTTCCAAACAAAGTGAAAAGGGTATATGCTAATTATAATTATGAATAATCATGATAAAATTGATATATACATACATGTATATATATATATATATATATATATATATATATATATATTTTATTAACACTAGATAGAGTTGTCAAAACGAGCGATCCGACCTGATCTTATGGGTTAAGTAAAAAAATTTGATGTCCCAGCTTGACCTATATTTTTAAATGGGCAAAAAAGTTTAGCCTGGCTTGGTCCTATTGACCATCTTGATCCCACATATAAAGCTTTTGATGAGTAGTTGAAGATACTACCCCTATGCCATGTATTCATTCTCTACCTTGCAACACATTAAAATTCACATGAGACTTGACTACTACAAATACAATAGTCCTTGTATAAGTTCCAACTATCACATCAAGAGCTATTATTCATTTTGAACTCGATGATTTCCTATTAAAATTTGACACTAGGACATTATTCTTTATCAAATCTTCTTCTTTCTTACCAAATTTTTTCAACATTGATTTCGGTAATATATTCATTATTATCCCTCCATCGACAAACACTTTATTCACTGTAGTGTCTTCAATTTCTATTTTTAACATCAAAGGCTTAAGATGAAATCTCATCTCTTCACTTGGTGGATCAATCAATGTTGCATCTCTGTGAGGTGATTCACATGAAACTTTCCTCATAGTAATCTTCTCTATTTGAATTATGTTTTATTTGACTTTCCTCATACATACTAGCATACTCGTTCGGAAAAATCAAAATCACTCATATATTCACATTTCTTTATCTAAGATTTGCACTCGACCCCTCTCCTTGATTAACCAAAGTGCTAGTATAAACTTGACCACCTCCCTTGACTTGGTCTTCCTTAATCCATACATCCAACCTTTGATATTATTTTCCAGAAGGGTTGTGATATGTTTTCCCTCATCCAAGGACCTCATTTCCACATCTGGTTGATTTCAATGTCCGATTACTTAATTATAAGTATTTTGTGGATAATTTTTATTATTCTGATTATTCCTTCTAATATTATCCCAAGCATGTAAAATTTGGTTTGCATCTTGACTTCTATTAACCATTCTAACATGTTTCTATCGATTATCATTTCCTTACATATTTCGATTATTATTGTTTTGCTCTCCAAGAGGTTCAGCTTGGTTATTTCCTATTTGCATATTATCATTTGCTAAGTTATTTCTTCTAGAAATAGTAAGTGCATCTCCTATCATTGTCATTTGCTCTACTAATCCTTGAAAACAATCGGCAGTTGTTTGTATCAAAGGATTTAAAATGATGGTCATTTGTTGAGATAACATATTAACAATTTTATGATTACTATCATTCATTTATTGTCTTATGACCCCTAACATATAACTCGATATCCTTGTGTTTATGTTATCAAAGTCACTTTGATTTTTATTACCCTCCTGTCATTTCTAAATCTCAACTGATTTTGACTTCGATCATTCATTCTATTAGAATTTGCGGTTGGATTCCACGATGGCATCCACCAGGGATATCTTTCTGCCATTGGGACTCCCTAATTATTTTTTTGGGTTGATGTATTCCCACTAACATTATATTCACCCAACACACCTTATCTATTTGTTGTTGTTGTCATATGTGGTCCTACATAAGTGTTACCTATTGTATTATTTGTTGGCTGAATCATTTCTTGATTACTTTGACTACCAGTTTTTGGATTAATAGTAATACCCTAAATACTTTCACTCACATTTCCCACATTTTGACCGTCATTGCTATTATTCATCATTGTGCTAGTTATTAATGTTTTGACTTGTCAAAATTATTCAACATCTTCTTAATATCATACACTATATTGTTTTGTCACACTGGTCGTGCCAATTTGCTTCTAGTGTAAATGATTTGTTATTCAATTTAATTAAACAACTCTGTAATTTATGTGATGAATCACTTAAACACCATGTGTGTTCTTTATCTTAATATTACTTCAAATCTAACACATAGTATATTTCAACCAGAAATCGATCAAATTTAATTTTTTTTTTTAATATAAATTGAAACATTTAAAGTAAATTGCAAGAATAGTAAATTTGCAAAGAAAGTAAATAATAGAAAGATAAATTTAACCCATAACCAAGCATAAAACAAAAATTAATAGAGAAAATCAATAAAAGTGGCGATCTAAATTCCAAAAAACTTCATTGAAAATGTTTGTTCCATGTTCGCAGCGCTTTCAATAATGTAAGTCTTTGTACAATTTGACAATCACCCTAATTGATTAAACCACTATTTTTATCAGTTAAAATGTTTTTGATGACATTTTTTGAAAATGTGGTTCACGACTTTAATCAATTAATCCAACTTTTTATTAGTTAAAATGTTCTTGTAACTTAGTCAAAATTATGTCCTTATTGTTTTAATTGATTATATGAAGGTTTCATCAGTTAAAAAATGACCATTAAATTAAAATCATGAATTAATCGATTCATTAAACGATTATATGAAGGTTTCATCAGTGTTATCTCACTGTTTTAATCTATTAAAAAATCATGAATTAATCAATTAATTAAGCATTTTAGTGAAAACAAAATTAAATGGTCGATTTAATTGTTTAAACCTGTTAGTTTTCCTATATAAGTAGTTTTGATATCTCCTTTCAATATACAATTTTAAGAAAAGTTTTTAGTAATCTTTTGAGATATTTTTGATAATTCAACGTGCATTTTTTCAATGTGGGATAATTCAAAATATTTTTGAAGAATTTCTTTTACTTTCTTGATAATTTCTTTCCTTGTATTCTTCATTTCCTAATGTATTTATGGTACTTGGTGGTGGTATTGGTTAGTGGCAACCTAGCATGGGTTGTTGGAGGTTTCAAGAGTGATTATGAGGTGTTCAAGAAACTCTTAGGGTAGATTGAGTGTATCTACTAGTGTATAATTGTAATTTACTCATGATTTAGTGAAACTCAATTGGTTGTGCTGAAAATTAGATGTAACTCAGGTGGTTGGGTGAACTAGGTGGTTCTTTTCTTTGAGAATTTGTGTAATTCAAAAAAGTTTATAAAAAATTTTTAATGGATCAACTCATCTCTTTCTTGAAATTGGTCATTATTATTAATACAATCAAAGTTATAAATGATGAAATAGAAAAATATTTCTCCTTATAACAAGCTTTACAACCAACAAATCTATAGGTTGACTTATAGATATAGGTTGTTCAAACCACATAACTTATGATTGAGAAACTCTCAAAGAGTTTAACAAATATGTCATTTATAAAGTAAGATTTGCCAATACAAAACAAATGGAAGGAAAAGGTAAGAGAACAGTTAGAATTAAAAGTTATTAAAGTTCTAAATTAAGTTTTAATGTCTTGTATATTTTTATATTAAACAAAATATATTAAGTGTTGCTAAATTGTTAGAAAAAATAATTATTAGGTGTTTTTTAAATATAAAATTTGTGTGATTAAATATTCAAACAACTTAGAATTATTCAAAGTTCATATGAAATAAAAAAAAATATTACATTAAATTTGATGAAAAAGGTGTTGAGATATAAAAGAAAAAAAATCATGAAACATATTTCTTGAAAAAACTTGATGTTTGAAGTAACCAGGATCACAATGGGACGATGAAAAATAATCTTAAAAAAAAAGAAGTCGTCGTCATAATTTATTAAAAAAAACTATAAAATAACATTTCTCTTAAAAAAATTATTCTTTCAACTAATTTGGGTTTAAGAGTCAATTACGTATAAAAAAATTCTAACATCTTATAATATTCATCAAGACATATTTCTTTAATTAAATGTACAAAATTAAAAAGTTTTTAAACTATTTATCTTTTCCGCACAAAGATGCATGTAAAAAAAAATTTTAATACTTAGTTTTTTTTTAGTTTAAAAGAAAGCAAAAGAATATTTATAAAATTATATATTTAAATTCAACACATTTTTATTCACAAAAGAAAATTAGGGTCATGTACTTCTTTATTACATTTTTTTTAAAACTGAATATTTTTAAATGTTTTAATTGTTTTTATTTTTATATATTTTTCTATTAAAATTTTAATACTTAACATGATATTAATATTTTTTATTATATATAAAAATTTAAAATATTAATAAATTTGACATTCAATATAATTTTTAAATATTTTAAATTATAAATAAAAATTTAAAATATTAAATAAGTCTGAGACTTAATAAGATATTTCATAAATTTTAAAATTATTATAAATAAAAATTTTAAATATTAAAGAATTTCAAAAATCAATATGATATTTAATAATTTTTAAAATTTTATAAATATAAATTTTAAATATTAAAGAAGTTCAAAAATCAATATGATATTTAATAATTTTTAAAATTTTATAAATATAAATTTTAAACATCAAATTCACAGTTTAACATAATATTTAATAATTTTTAAAATTATTATAAACAAAAATTTAAAATATCAAATATGAATTCCGGAAACCAACCCACCAGGACACCACCATATATTGTGAGTGAGATTTTGGTACTTCTCAAAAAATCAGCATGCCATTGTCTTCTTTCTTGTATATTGTAAGGTTTTTAACTCACATTAATCAAGGCTACTAAAATATTAAATATTTTATCACAAATAATCATTTCTTCTTATATTTTTTTTATCCTTATCCATCCTTATTATTTTTAGCATTTAAATTTTATATTTTTAATTAATTTTATATTATTATTTATTATTTTTAAATCTATTTTAAAAAATAGATGAAATTTAGTGTTGACAATATCAAGAAGAGAGTAAAAAAGAACAATTCTCCAGTGTCAATTCAATGTTACTATTATAAAGTACTAAAAGAAATGTTATTATTATAAAGTCCTAAAAAATAAAAAAATATGAAATTGATAAAGAAATAAATAAAGGTGAAATCGAATGAGATCACTTCAAATAAAAAAAAGAATGATAAAAAAACACAATAAAAAAATAATATCAAATTTAATTAAATAAATATTAAATAAATAAACCATGTTAAAAAATATGTTTTATTATTTTTTATTTAAATTAAATATTAAAATATTTTTATTATGTTTCTGTTTTTTAAAGTATTATTTAGAATAAAAAATAATATTATTAATATTTAATATTTCTTATTTCTTATATGCATGAAAGTAATATCATATATTTCTCCCATAAAACCATACACATATGTCATTATAATTATAACACTAATTATGATTAAAATCGTCAAATACATTAAAAAATTATTTACATTTATATTCATTAATTATAAAACAACTAATTAATTTATGATGATGTATAAATATCTTAATAATAAATTTTAATAAATTAATAAATTCTCTTTAATTTCTTTGTTTCATATTTATTTAAACAATTCATAATTCTAAGAATAAATATTTATACTTTAAAATTAATATATATATATATATATATATATATATATATTAAATTTTAACAAACTAAAATAAAAAATATAATAAAAATATAAATACATATACGAATCCATGGCTAGGTTTTCTCTAGTATAAATAAAGAAAATTCTTCTTTATGTTATAGAAAAGAAAAGAAAATATTATAATAATAACTAAAAGAAAAATAATGTGAACAACATAATAAAATTGGTTAATTTCGATTGTATAAAAAATTACAGGTAGATTAATGATTTTAGTGTGTCAACCTCAGATGAAACAAACTAACTCACTTTAAAAAATATTTATATCTTAAAATAAAAATAAATTATAATTAAAAATATTATATTTGTTATATTATGTTATTAAAATATATAAATATATTATAATATTATAATTTAAATTATAAAAATTAATTAATAAAGTTTAAATTATTGATTATAATTACTTATTTTAATACATAAATATAATAATTTTTTAATTTACTTAATAAAAATATTAATTAATAAATAAAACTTAAAAATTATTCATATAATTAAAAAAAAATATATATATATATATATATATATATATATAATATTGATACAACAAGCGAGAGATTTATTGTCTTGACCTTCTTAAGAATTAAGAGGAACCATGATTCTCCCAAAATATTGTAATTCTCGTAAAATTTATAATTTTAATCATTTAAACTTAATAATCATTTTATATATTTACAATTTTATCCTCTCAATTTTCCTTTCAATTTTATAACTCTTATATAATTTATAATTTTCACCTCCTAAATTTAATAATCATTTACTATATTTATTTATATATTTACAATTTTATCCTCTTATTCTTTCATCTTTTTTCATCTTTTTATATTTATTTATTATTTATTAATAATATATTATTTAACTTCCAAAAATCAATTATCAAAATTCATCACAATAATGAACTAGAAATAGAACAAATCAAAATAAGTGAATCATAATCTATCTAACTATTTCAATAAAACTAAACAAGACCTCTTGACTTATTTTATAATCTTAAATGTGAGATATATATAAAAAATAAAAAGAAAAAAGAAATTAAGAGAATAAAACTATAATCATGTTTTATCTCATCAATGTGAAAAGAAAATATAATGTATAATAAATAAAGAATATGAGATATTTTTAAAGAAAGATGAAGAGAAATAATAAAGAGCACAAACTAAAATCTACTAAAATGTGGAACACCACTTCTATGTGAACAAAATTCACAACAATACAAGGAAGCAACTCCAACAATATTTTCATATTTTAATTTTATTCTCCCTCAACTTTCTCCTTAGTTTGAACAATTTTCGTTTGCTTGATTCTAAGATTATTTTAATTTTAATTTTAAAAGGTTAACAAAAGCAGGTTAACCTTTAACTAAGTGATGTGAATGTCATAGACAATAGAGCAAAATAGGAACATCTGTAGTTTCCCCTATGCTTTGCAATCATCACCAACCACACGCAACACCTTTTCCTTCAATTTCTCTATTATCTGCAGAAAAGACGAAAGAAAGTGTCATTGTATTGTACAAACATGTTTGGACGTGGTAGGGTTCCATGAATCATACCAAACTAGAATTGCTTGCCCATCCTCTGACTGAGCTAGCAGCATTTCTGAGGTGAGAAAGGTTTGAGGAATCAAAATTCAAATAATAAGCAGAGTTTTCATTGGCATCAGCAACCCAGATGTGGTTTTTGTGGTCCTTTTCCTTTTTTATAAGATTACACAAACCAACCTGCAAATAATCAACATACAACTTTCATCCAACTTATCAGCACACGTTTTGCGAACTAGACAACTTAAAAACATGACAGACATTCAATTTGCTGTAACAGTTGGTTCATTCAAACCAAATCTGAATATACACTGAATGTCAGTATGCAACAATATACCCAGAATAATGAGATAAAACTTTTATGTTATGATGAAAGCTAAAATGATATTGGAAACTCGTTTAATCTAGAAACTGACACGAACGAACGAACGTCAAGGCAAGAACGAGTGCGAAAAAGAGAAGGGGAAAACTTGTGTATTATTGATGTATTGAAAGAGAGAAACAGAAAAAAAAAAAAAAAATATATATATATATATATATATATATATATATATATATATATATAAAAGTGAGAAAGTCCAAGTGACCCAGACCAACAATGAACAGTTAACTGAACTGACAGGTCGAGTTAAGACCGAAGAAAATCAAAGAATATTCTATAAGATTTTAAGTTAATGGGTGCAAATAAATCATAATCCTTATGCACAACGGATATAATCAAAATGGCAATAAGATAATGCATTGTAAATACCGTGGATCCTGCAAGGTTGTAGCTTATTAGTGGAAATGATGAATCTTGATCAATTAATGGAGAGCAAAAGCAGATAGCAAGCAAGGAGTCGATTAACTTTTCTGACTGTAAATCATTCATGATGGATCCATCGGTCACAAACACCCATTGCTTCTTTTGCTGACTTGATATATAAACCCCTCCCACATGCACAACGTATGCAGCAATGTCAAACTCACTGTGAAAATAATGACAAGACAATGTCAAAATTTTCTTGCAATATTTTGTTTATCAGATAACAGAAACATGCATGTAAACAGACTAGAGGATAAACATACTTGGAAAGAGGGATGTCACCCAACCTTGACAACGGGGTTGATTTTCTACTGCAGAAAAATGGCCTACAAATGACAAAAATAAGCTGGATTCAGAATGTATCATACGTAGAATATAGCCAAGTAAAAATTCATTTTTTTCCCTTCTTGTTATGATTGTTAGATACCTACTTAAACTGTTCTCTTGCATTAGAAGATAAAGGCCACCACTTGGTAGAAGATCCTCTAGCATGCAACTGGAGGATATTCAAATCAGAACTTGACGGCATGAGTCCTGCAATGGCATATGCTCCTCCTTCCTCCAACTCCAGACGCTGCACATTAGTTACACAAAGAAATTGTGAGAAATCAACTGATCTCTACTAAATAACAATTACAGTAAGGTAATGGAATAAAGGAAAGGAAGGGTATCAAAATTAGCTATGCATGGATTCGAAGAACATCTGCATGCAAAGCTAAAACCACAGAATTATTGACTAATTATTAAGACAAGAAAATACACCTAATCCTTGCAATTGGCTTACCAACCTCACCTGCTTCTCAGTTGGATTCCAGATTGTTACTGTGCCTTCTTTAGGTTTGTCTTGTCGAGTTTTATAAGTTAATCCAACAACTCGTAACTTCATAAATGGTGTGACTTCTCTATGTCCCAAGCCAGCATCTTTCAAAGCTTTTTCTATCGACTTTTCCTTTTCTGATTGTCTGTTTGCCTGAATATGGGTATGAAATGATAAATATCTTTCTGCATATAGACTTCTAGGAAGATAGGAAACACAACCTTACATTTAATTTGGCCTTATACGCAGCAAAAGAACTAAGCTGCTCTGGACTCATATCTGCCATTAAGAATTCAGGTTCTTCCGCTGTCTCAAGCATGTTATAAATCCTAGCACCTTCACTATCACTATCATAATTAAAATGTGTCCTTTCCTTCTGATACTCAGAAATGATGCCATCTACAACAGCACAGCGTCTGTGTCCATATAGGAGATCAGTCAGAGCACAAAAATAAAATTCACATTATGGTGTTAGAATAACAATTGCACCAGTAAGGTAAGCACCTGATGATTTTTTTTACTGACTTTCCTATTCACACACATAAGTCTCAGATTACCTTATATAAATTTCATTAAATGCATGGGCTGTGAAACTCTTCTTTTTACCATTGTTACTATGTTTACTTATTTTAGATAGTTTTGCTTACTATTGATTAGTCATGTATTTATTCTGATTTTGGACAGATTTATACGGGGGTACATGACATTTTTTGTTGATAACATATGTGAGTACGACGATGAGCTATCATTTTTCATATATGTGACCTTAAATATGATTCATTATATGAAATACAATATGATGTAGCAGCAAATACGAAAATTGTTGTATTTGTTCTCGTTACTCTTCTCTTTCCAGGTTATGGTTTTGTTTTATTATATAAAACTTGTCGTTAAAACTGACAAAACACAAGAAAACTTGATTCTTGAGGTATGAATATCCACCGTGTATTGTGTAAGTCTTCAAAATAAAACAGAAATTTTCCGAATTTTTTACAAAACTCAGAATCTCATCATCTAACAAATAACTCTTAAAAGAATATATAATCTAGGATAAAAATAAAATAAAAAAGGAGAGAAGAGAAGATGAGTGAAAGGTATGTTTTGGAAGAGTATGAAATGGTTTATTTATAAGTGTAGTATTAGCTTAGAAAGATCCAACCTTCTACGCCACGTCTCCACAAACACCTGCGGAAGTGTCTAGATACGAGGAAGAAGAGATAGGGTTGTTTCCGTGAATCAAGGGATGTTGGCAAGTGAGGTTCCAGATCTGTAGCACTTGGAGTCAACATTTGTAGAGGATGACTCGCACAACTCTCGTGGGCTGCGATTGTGGGTTTCGTGTTCATGGGTTCCATGGGATTTAGGTCTTGCGATACTCTTGTTTTCCTAACAAAACTATCTTTTCATTACATATGGGTTGTCAAAATGAGACCATGTTTAAAGTCTTTTGAACTCTTTTTGTGTTATGGTTTTGTTTTATGTAAAGCTATCTTCATTACATATGGGTTGTCAAAATTAGACAATGTTTAAAGTTTTTTAGCTTATGGGAGTATAGATCAAGATAAGCAAGTTCCACCACTGAGAATTAATCCTACTATATCAAATCAAGCAACATAAGAAGAAAGTTGTCTCATGTCTAGATTCAGCTTTAGATTTAGAAGATCAGATGTTTACCAGCATTATGCATTTAGAAACCACCAAGCAAATATGGGACAAATTGAATGAAAGATATGCAAGTGATGAAAGGGTAACGTCCATTAAACTTTTGATTCTTAAAAGAGAGTTTGAAGAGCTGAAAATCAAGGAGAATACATTTCAAAGTTGTCCCATTTGTACAAAGTTGTCCCTCATTGAAAAAGGAAAAGTGTAAACAAGATAAGAAACAAAGCCTGGTCAAGTAAAGAATGCCCAGCGTCCCCCATTAGTCCCATAATTCTCAAACACTCTTCTCATCACTCAACCGCACCACTACAGCACTACACACTACTTCCTAGCTACAGTTAGTTACACCTTTCTCTCTTGATTCAGTAGGAGCACTGCACCAGTCATTAAATATTCAAAGCAGATAAAAAAAAGGAGATATATGGGAGAATATTAAGAATATAAGGTATTGAGCTGACACACAAGCCCTATTGGGAGAAGGCTAAAGGAGCTTAAGTGTCATGCGAGGAGGAAGAAAAAGAACTCTTCGGAAAAGAGTAATTGGAGTCTGCGGGCAACTTCAGCAAGTTAGTTAATGATAGGACTGGTAGTATGGGCCTGGACTTAAATAGAAGGCCCAAAATATGGAGGGTGTATGTGAGGAGAAACAAGGATGTGATAACATGAAAATGACGTGGCGAATGATGTAACTGTATTATGAGAACCAGAGGGTATTTGAGAGACGGGAAAAGAGAGTGAAGGGCATCAAAATATCCTGCTATTGTTCTTTATGGTCATAGTGTTGTAGTCATTAGGAGCATTGCTCTGTAGCAAAAGAAATTAATTCTTTCTGTAAAATCATTTTCACCATCTAATATCAAGATTTTTTTTCTCTCAAAATTTCTTTTGTCTGGGATTTTGGCCTGTAACAGTTACTCTGAGAAGGGATTTTATGAGAGAGGTTTTTCCTGTTAGTAACTTAGGTGGTGTGAGAGTAATTTTTGTTAGTGATTGTGAACATTCTCACTGAGGAGCTGCTACTGTGTTTCTTACTAATAAAAATAGAGGTAGATGGATAGTCAGGGAAGGCACCTCTGATTGTACAACTCTGTCATTTTATTCTCCATCTTCTCTGACATGACAACAGACCGGCCACTGCTTAACCTAATGAGTAAAAAAACTATCAACATTTTTCATTGCATAATTAGAGTACATATCTAAAAAGAAATTTACTGTACATACTTCAAGTGAAATTGTACGACATACTTTATTAGATGTTACCTTTCTTTGTAAAGAATGGGATATATGCGGGTAATTCCAGCCAAAGTTTGTGGTATAAGGCCACCATTGCTTTTTATGCATGTGAAAGCCAAAGGAGGACCAGCAACCTTACCTGCCAGTCAGCTTAAAATATTAATCTCAAGGATGATACTTTTCGGTAAAATTGGCACCATTAACATCCACATAATAAAAGATGCTTACAAAATCCTAACCGTTCTGCCCAGTGAGCTCTATATGTTCCATTTATGTGCAGCAATAAACTAACTGTTGATGACACCTGAAATTATAACAGATTCTTCAGATACCATCTAACAAGATATACATTTATTACTCAATCATAATCCTAAGCTGTACAAAACCTCAAGGGGTGAAACTGGTCCAGTCCAGCCACATAATCCTGCTCCTGAGAGCTGCATGAGGCATATGTAAACAGAATTCAACTTTATTGGCATAATCAAGGAAGTTAAGATAAACAACAAATACAGACAACACATTACTCGGAGCTTCTGTCCCACAAACAATCTTCCAGCAGCATGTTGCTTTGACAAAGGAACATCTAAAATAGCATTTATTGAATACCTGTAAGGGAAAATCACTGTATGTAAGGGACCCTCGCATTTATATCGAGCAATCAGACAGTGAGATAGTTGAAATTCTGACCATCCATCAGTTAGTTCAACTTTCACTGCTTCAGCTTTCTGAGTCCCAGTTTCTATCTCAACACAAGTTCCACTTTCCGCTACATGACAAGAGTGAATACTTGAAATGCATAAAATCATCATTGATGAAGGCAATGCATCCCCTTCGAGAATTTTCTTGATGGTAGACCGGTGGCCATGATTCACTTCTCTTTCATATCTACACACCAAATGCTATCAGAAGTTTTATCATTTTTAGAGACGAAAGTATGTTGTCTTAGAGCAGTCACATGCCTGTACTTCAGTTCCTCAAGCACGTTTGATACAGTAAAAAATTTTCCAGCAGAACTAGCTGAATAGTATCTATCATAACATGCCAACTTCCACACAATCCACTTGTAATGATTCATGACCCACCTACCAATGCGCGATGGAAGTGTTAAACTAAGATGAAAAAATCGTTAGAGTGCAACAAATAATACATATGCACAACATAAAAGAGAACCGAAAGTACCAAAGTCCCCTACATTATAATATTTAACAGCAAAGGAGCTTTAAATCAATAATGTATTTCCAAGTCATCCAGATAACAAATGAATATACTAGGTTGCAATAACTTTCTGACACACTTAATATTGTTAGGAAGTTGATTTAGGAGTCTACGTGTGTTAGATCTCTAACAATCTGTATTTTCTTTTATTGTTTTTAAAATTGTCAGTCTTCTAAGAAAGCAGTTAATGTTTATGTGGCTCAGTAATAGGAACATGAGCTAGTGGGTAATGTTATTTTTAAGGTTATAAAATTGTAATGCTGTTATGAATAGAGTCGTTGTTCTCTTCCAATATTTTATCAGATTTCCTTTCTCTTTAAATACTTAATACAGAACAATTACAATAACTGATATCAGAGCTTTATTTTTTAGGAACCTGTGAGAAAAAAATCTAAAATCGTGGAAGTTGATTCAAGTATTTTTGACAATAGCACAAACAGTTTTCAATTGTGAAAATTATCATATTTGGGAAGTTCAAATGGAAATTTATCTAGAAGCTCTAGATCTATGTAAAGCAGTAGAATAAGATTATGAAGTTCCTACACTACCGGAAAATCCAACAATGGCTCAAACTGAAAATCACAAGGATAGGAAAACAGAATAAGCTTAGGCAAAGGCGACCCTTTTTGCTGCAATATCACCAACAATTTTCACTAGAATCATGTCTCCAAAGTCAGCTAAAGTCACTTGGGACTATCTCAAAACGGAGTATGATGAAGATAATCAAATTAAAGGCATGCAAATGTTGAATCTTATTAGAGATTTTAAATTGCTAAAGATGACGGAATCAGAAACCATCACAAAGTACGCTGAAAGGCTTCTAAGCATAGCAAATAGAGTAAGACTACTTATTTCTAAATTTAATGACTCTCACATTGTTGAAAATATTTTGGTTACTATACCTAAAAGATTTGAGGGTACCATAACCACGATGGAAACAACCAAGGATTTATCCAAGATCACCTTGGCATAGTTGTTGAATTCTTTGCAGGCATAAGAACAACAAAGGGTTATAAGAGAAGAAAGCTTTGTTGAGGAAGCATTGCTCGCCAAACATGATGATGATGATGGGAGATATAAAAAGAACATGAACGAGTAGCAAGCAAATGAAGAACGTATCCTCCTTGCAAGCACTACAACAAGATGGGACATCCTCCATTTAAGTGTTGGGGAAGGCTTGATGCTAAGTGTCCCAAGTGCAATCAACTTGGACATGAAGTAGTCATTTGCAAGAACCAAACCTAGCACCAAAAAGAAGATGCTAGTATTGCAATTAAGAAGAGGAAGATCAACTTTTTGTTGTGACCTATTTTGCAATTATTGTCTCAAAGTGAATCTTGGCTGATGGTATTTTGACCTATTTTGCTAGTGGATGCACCAATCATATGACCCATGCTCAAGGAACTCTTCGAGGAACTCAAGCCTTTTAAAATTTCAAAAGCCAAGATAGGTGATGGTATTATATTCTGGTAAAAGGAATAGGAACCACTATCACATTCTAGAACTAAAACAATGTTTAATGCATTATATGTAACTGACCTACTCCAAAACTTGTCGAGTGTCGGTCAACTAGGGGATTTTTTAAGACAATTTCTATTTGATCAAGGATGTTGTAGGTCAACATTTGTTCAAGGTGAAAATAAGTGGCAAAGCTTTTCACTCAATCCAACTCAAGAGGAACAAGTAACTATTTTAGTAAAATGTTGAAGCGTTATAGCACAAGAAACTTGAGCATTATCACTGTCGAGAACTACTCAAAATGCAAAAACATGAAATGTATAGGGATGTACATGATTTTGAAGTGATTTCTACAAACTGTCATGCTTGTCAATATGGAAAGCAAAGTAGAATTCCATTCCTAGTAGCCACTTCGAGAGCCAAAGAAAAGCTACAACTAATTCACACTACTGTAGGAGAGCCTCAAAGGACTCTTTCCCTTAAAGGTAGTCATTATTACATTATTTTTATATACAATATAACTTGAATGTGTTGGATTTATTTTCTGAAATTCATATCAGAAGTTGGAAGCATTTTTTGGAAGTTCAAATCAAGGGTGGAAAAGGAAAGCAACTGTAACATTCAAACTTTAAGGTCTAATAATAGCAAGGAGTATATCTCAAGCAAGTTTAATTCATTTTGTGAGAAGGTAGGAATCAAACATCAACTTACAGTTCCCTATACTTCATAACAAAATGGAGTCAATGAGAGAAGAAACAAATTTGTTATGGAGATGGCCAAATGTACATTGCATGGACATAATTTGCTAAAGAAGTTTTGGGCAAAGGCAGAAATACAGTTGTGTTCTTACAAAATAGATTTTCCACACACAAAGATGGTGAAAAATAAAACTCATTTTGAAGCATGACATGATACAAGCCTCAAACTCATTTTCTTAAAGTGTTTGGCTGTCTTTGTTTTACTTATGTTCCACAGGTCAAACGAGATAAGCTAGACAATAAAGTCACTACTAGAATTTTTATTGGCTACAATACAATTTCAAAAGTTTATAAATTATTTTAGCCTAAAACTGAAACTGTAGCAATTTCCAAAGATGTGCATTCCATGGAAAATGAAGCATGGGACTACAAACACTTAAAGATCTCATTGCCAAAGGCAAGGTTATGATTAAATGAAAGGGAGCATGATCCACCAATTAGAGGCACTCGATTGATTTCAAAAATATATCAAACGCAATGTTGCAGTATGTGATCCAGCTGATCATGAAGAAGCTCTCAAGACTCCCAATGGAAGAATGTAATGAAGGAGGATCTATTTATAATTCAAAAGAACAAAACTTAGGAACTTGTTGATAAACAGCAAGACATAAAGGTATGCACAAATATTCAGTGTTGGTTACTGTGACACATTTAGTTGCCAAGCTTGATACAATAAAATTACTTTTTGCTATTTCTGCTCAACTTGGTTGGAAAATTCATCAAATGGATGTCAAATCAACATTCCTTAATGAGATACTTGAAGAAGAAAACTTTGTTGAACCTGAAGGTTTTGTGGTGGAAAGTAAAGAAGACAAAGTTTATCAATTACATAAAGCTAAGCTTGGTATAGTCGAATAGATGATTATTTACTTAGCCTTGGCTTTATCAGAGTTGTTCGGTACATCAAAGGAACAATCATCCATGGAGTCAAGTTTCAAAGAAGTTAAAATATGAAGCTCCATTTGATTATTTTGACAGTGATTGGGGTGGTTCTTTGAATGATATGAAGAGTACTTCAGGATATTGTTTCACTTTTGCTCAAGAGTTTCTTCATGGACTTTAAAAAAACAAGATACTGTTGCACAATCAAAAGCAGAATCTGAATCTATAGTTGCAACAACAATAAATCAAGCCTTTTTGTGGTTGAGGAAAATTTTGGTTGATTTGCATATGGAACATACTGGAGGTACTGAAATATATGTGGATAATCAAGCTACAATTGTCATCTCTCACAACCATGTGTTTTATGGGAAGACCAAACATTTCAATATCAAGCTTTTCTTCTTAAGAGAGGTGCAAAAGGATGGAGAAATAACTCTTGTCTACTAAAGGACAGAAGAACAAGTAAGTGACATATTTACAAAGCCCCTGTTATTCAACAAGTTTGAGCTTATCAGAGAATAACTTGGTGTTCGTAGCCTCTAAACAAGGAAGAATGTTAAGAAGTTGCTTTAGGAGTCCATGTGTGTTCACTTTCATTTTGTTTTTTAATTGTCAAGCATTTAAGGTGTAGTCAAGCAGTTAATGTTTACGTGGCTCACTAACAGGAACATGGGTTAGTGGGTAATTATGTTATTTTAAGGTTTTAAAATGTAATGCTATTAATTAATAGAGGTAGTTCTTTTCTTCCAATATTTTGTCTGATTTCCTTTCTCTTGCAACACTTAATTTTACAGAACAATTACTAAAAATATAACTAGCAAACTGACCTAACTTTGCACAGATCAAAAACCACGTGGCAAAGTTACTCCTCTACACGTTTCACAGAAACTGGAAGCAAGAGTACAGGGTAGAAGCAATTTACTCTTTGGTAGCAAAATGCATGGAAGCTCCATAGTGAGACAATAGATGGACAAAAGCTTCTGCTCCCACGTCATTATCACCAGACCCTTCATGAAACACATACTTTTCTGCATTAACTGATGTCACTTGTCTGCTCAGGTTGAGAAAACGCTGAAACAAAGTTCATTTCAGTGCACAAAGTGTTGCCAGTGCCAAGATTATTAACTCCTAGCAGAAATATACAGAGTATTCTCACCTCTCTCTTTGCCATTGGAGGCGCAACAAAATAATCCTTGATGTACAGCCTTGGATACTGAAATGGATATCGGGTAGAAACCACTCTTTTGCATCCAGAAATACCAGAGGGCAATTGAGACAAATCTGGAGATCAAATACCTCAAATAGCTATAGCAACTAAAAAAAGATTACGAAATTCATTAAAGATTCTTAGTCTAAGTTTACCATAAGGAGATTTTCCATCATCCTGCTCTAAAGGAGGAGAAATTTTGGAACTGCGTGGCTTTTTAAAGGGCGAAACACTCACGCACAACCCTAGTCTCCGTTTTCCACTAGAAGCTTGTCTATTGTTTGTTTCATCCATGTTAATGGTATTGGAAACATCAACTAATGCCCTACGTACTGCCATGCCGCGTGTCGAAGAAAAAGCATTCAATGAAGAATCATATACTACTTTTCCATTCAGAGGCTTCTGTCCACAAGCATTGGTACTTTTCCATCCACAACCACTTTCTTCCCCAACAGTATCAAACTTCTTTATCAAGTTAATCCCGTCACCTTCAGAAGGAAACTTGGTTGACAATTCTCTGTGCCTAGAAGACTGCAAGGGGAAAGTAAAACTCTTCGTCTTAAAATTGCTACCGGATGTTACCCGGCAAACCAAAGAAGTACTACAATCACTTGAGGCAGCCGTGTCCGTTTGTCTCTTAAATGGAAAAGAAAAGACTGAATTGTCGCCATCCCCTCCTTCAAACAAATCCCCCACATCCGGATCACCCAGAAGGCTCCGAGCACGCTGCAGCGCGTCACTGGAAATGGATATAGACCTTCCACCAGCACTGTGAAATTTGATCGGAGCTTGACTGACTAGATTCCTTTCCTCAAAAACATTCTTCAATGCATGAAGATCCCCGACAGAAGGATTGCTGATAACTCTATGCAGTTTCAATTGAGGCGATTCTTCTTCTTCTTCTTCTTCTTCTTCTTCTCGCTTCCCAATTTTTTCTCCAAATGCGTGCAATTTACTTGTACTTTGGATATTACTGTCAATGGTGTCCAGCAACGTCTTTGCTCTAACCAGACCGCTAGAAGATATGGTAACTTTTTTCCCAGAGCCTGTGGTGAAAAGGGAATTCGAGAAGCTGAAAGTATCACCCATTGCTCCCTCATCACCTGCAATTAATTAATCAGGGTCTGATAAATTAAAAACAAGGTAAACAGCCATTTCCATCCCTGAATGTGTAAATTTCGTCTTTGAAAAAAGAAAAACAAGAACTATGCCAATTGTACAACAAGACATAAGTGTTGCATTTTTTACGCATTCAGAGACAAAATAAAAACTTTCGTTGTTTAAGAGACTAAATTATTACTTCCAGTTCACAAATTCAGGACCAAGACGCTCATTTACCCGTTATAAACAATAGTAACAAGGCTTTTGAATAATTAATGCAGTCACTAGTTTAGATTGTACAAGCATAGCAATACCTCGCGCAATGGCGTCGTGGGAGGTAAGAAGAGCTGGTGAGCCTGCGCAAAAAGAATCAGTGGACAAAAATCAAAAAGAAAAAGGAGAAAGAAATTGAAATTTTGGATTGAACTGAGAAATTGGTACCATGGAGAAGATCGGCCATGGTAGGGAGGGAAATGGGAGAGGGGAGAGGAATGGGAGAAGAATGAGCAACGTCTTGGGTAACTTGCCAGTGGAAATTGTTTGGGGAGTGGGAGAGTATTTGCCAGGAACGCATTGTTCAGGCTTCTTGCTTGGTTCGAATTTGGGGAGAAAAGGAAAGGTCGTGGTTAGGACTTTTGTTTGTTCAAGATATTTAGATTTTGGGAATGGCGGGAAGAGTTGCGTTCTAAGCTGAAGGAAAGGAGGGAAATAGAATGCACTGTTTAAAAACAGGTTCACTTCCACCGCCATCATGGAAATTGGTATGAATTATTGTGCCATGAATATTCATTTGGTTTTGATGTTTTTGTCTCTTATTTTTTTTTAACTCTTTGCATTGAATTTTAATTTTAATTTTTAAAATTTGATATTTCATAAAAATGTTACTTTTAAATTTAGGAATTCAAAATTTCAACAAATTATACACATATTTTAACTAATAAATTATAAGAATTATTTTTATTATTCTTTTTTATACCTTAATCATAAATCATAAAAAAAAAATCACATCATTTTTTTTGTCTGGTTAAATGTTTTTTAAATTTATCAAGTTAAAATACTAATTCCGTTTACGATTATGTGAAATTCACATGCTTATTTTAATTACACATTAATATTAATAGAAAATATAAAATTATTAGTAATGAAATTCTAAAAATTGGTACACATGTTAATTAATGAAATAAATTTATAGGTATGTACATTAAACTTCATAGTACAATCTATATTTTTATTTTGAATTTGAAGATATTAACTTAAATTATAATTAGTAACTAAAAATGTATTCTTTTATGGTAAGAAACAAAATTTAAACAAATATAAAGACCAAATCTATATTAACATCAAAATTTAAAAATAAGAAACATAATTAAGAGTAAAAATTAATATCATGTGATGGTATTTAATTAATTAATTAATTTTTCTTTTTTACATATTTATTTTATTAGAATAAGTTAAAATAATATTTTTTTCTAATATTAAACATACTTTTTATTAATTTATTTGTTTATAGATGTATATCTAACTTCATATTATATATATATATATATATATATATATATATATATTTAAAATAATTTGGATAGCATATTATTTATATCAACCTTATTTTACACTAGTGCAAAAAAGCTTTCTATGTTGGTTAAAATGGGCTTTCTACGTCGGTTAAAGAAGCGACATAGATACGAGGGTCATAGAAAGTATGACTTTTTATGTCGGTTGTTATGAACCGACATAAAAAGTAATGGATTTTTTACGAAAATTTATATTAACGGGATTCGAACCCAAGTACAGTGTAGTCTAGAATTAGACCAACCACTATATTTACAATTACATTTCGTTTATATTATATTATTTTATTATCTATTAGAAGTTTGTCATTAGCAATGATTCGAACCAGGTACCTTAGAGTTGAAGACTAATACTCCAACCACTAAGCTACTATGATTTTCCGATAAATAACTTACAAATAAATTATATTTATATACAAAATATATAAATACAAATATATTTATATATTTTATATATTTATATATTTTGATATATTTATATATTTATATATTTAATTTTTTTTATTTAATATACACTTTCTATGTCGGTTAAATTTAACCGACATAGAAAGTGAGTTTGCTCACATACCATGTCGGTTATATAACAACCGACATAAAAAGTTTATAATATTATTACAAAAATGTCACTGCTCTATATACTATGACTGGTGGATTACAACCGTCATAAAAAGTCGTCATAGAATCATATTTTTCCACTAGCGTTAAATATATTATTTAATTATTTTTATTTAATATATCTAGTTTCAATATAAGATTTATATATACTAAATGAAACTATTTAAAATAATCTATAGATAAAATTATTATTTTACATTAAGCATATTTATTTATATATATATATATATATATATATATATATATATATTAATTATTTGTCGAGTTCAATTATCATAATATTCTATAAATTAATGGATCTTTAACATGTATTAATGATAAATTATTGACTTATTAATAAGATAATGAATAATTTAACTTTTAATACCATAATAAAGATAAATAATTATCATTAAATCGGTATTTTATTGTCGAAAGTTTTAAGAAATTTTATATATATCATTTTTTACGTGACAGGGAATTGGTAAAAATCATATATATTAATATTGACTTAAGTATCAGAATATTTTTATGGGTAAATCTCATTTCTCCTCTAAAGACATTACATTTCATCCATCAATTTTGAGTTGTTCGAGTCCGAGCTTCGTGGTCGAGTAGTTCAAGTTGTTCGCGTTTGATCAAGATTGACAAGTACAAAATGTGCTTTTTAAGTCACCTAATTTTCGTTAGATAAAAAAATAACTAACTTAAAAGAAAAAATAGGATGACATTGTTGTAAATAAGGGACGTTATTTTTACATCAAGTGGTTCTCTAACCAATATAAAAAAGCGGCTTTTATGTCAACTCCTATTAGGTTCGACATAATCACATTTTAATCGCTTCAAGCTTCTTTTTTCCTTCTGGGCGAGAGGGTTTTTAAGTGACGATGACGACAATAATCAAACCAGTTTCTCTCAAAGTATATTTCGACCACAGTAAGTGACGAAAACACCTACATTTGTGGTGGTTGATATTCCTCTCCGATTGAATTCAAGTTGTAGAGCGTTCTTTGTATATTTGATGTTAGAATGTTCATGTATTAGATGAGAATCATAGTTTATGCGAGTATAATTGATTCTTGGACAGAGGTAATTGCTTTCAATATTTATTAAGTTCATTTACCTTTATGTTATTGCATGTTAACAGGAGTCAAATTAATGTTTCAAGTATTTCAAGATCCATTAATCTCCATTATCAGGTATTTCTAGTACTTAGTTTGTAGGTTATTATTTGTATTGTATTATATAGTTTAACTTTAGTTTTTGTACTAGTTTATACTTTGTATTAGTTTAGCTTTGTAACGTTTACCTTTTAAGTAGTTTAGTTTTTGTACTAATTTAACTTTAAATTATTATCTATTGAAAATCTAGAATCTGACTAGCAATAAGACAAAACAAATCGAATATTAAAAAGGACAAATTTTATGTCGGGTCTGGGACATACTAGACGTAAATTTATGTTGGTGATTATGTCCAACGTAAATTTACATTTCCCATATTAACGTTAGACGTGTATTTGATTTAAAAAGGTCAAAATTATAGACGTAAAAACCTCATTTGTATTAGTGATCTCTCGTGTGTTCAACACAAAGGCTGAGTCATTTTCTAGCGATAACATTTTGGCATGGAGTTCGGTAAAACATATGCTAGACCTAAGATAAGCAAAATTATCACTACTACTATGAGTATCGAGGACATTCTTTAAAATCATGTATACCAGAACACACATTAATGTAAAACAAGGTCGAGAATCAATTCTCCACGCGTGGAAGAAGCGAAAATCGATTATGGTCTCAAGGAGAATCAATTCTCCATGCGTTCAAAAGAAGGGAGAATCAATTTTCGATTAGTTAAAAAAAGTAAGAATTATTGATTCTCTACTATTCTTTCCGCCTCTCTCAACTCACCACCACTAACACATACCATCAGTGACGGATCTTGACCATTGATATTGGAGGGGCCAAATAATATATTATTAATAAATAATAAATAAATATAAAAGGAAGAAAGAAGATAAAAAGGGTGAAAAGATAAAATTGTAGATATATACTTAAATATATTAAATTATCATTAAGTTTGAGAGGAATAAAATCATAAATTATATGAGAGTTACAAAATTGAGGAGGAGTTGAGAGGATAAAATTGTAAATATACAAGTAAATATATTAAATGTTCATTATGTTTGGGGGACAAAATCATAAATTACATCGGAGTTACAAAATTTTAGATATTATCCCTTTCACCTCCCAAAAAGATCCGCCACTGCACACCACACACACCAAACAAACCTCAACAAATTTACCTTTCACTAATGAATCACACAAACTCACCTCACACAAAAAAATAACTCACCTTCACAAATGACTTCTTGTGTATATTTAATGACATTTTTGCTCGGATATCAAGACACCACTATAATTGCATGTGAATATTGTGATTGAGTTGCAACTATTCTTTTTTAATTCCCTACATAAAAAAATACATATAACATCTTAAATGATTCCTTAGATTGCTGCATTGGTATACAAAGTCAAGTAAAGAAACAATAATAATGCTATTATAGTTTCTAAGAAGATGACAAAAATGTAAACTCACTCTCCTTTCTTTTTCTTTTTTTTCCTCAACTATGCGGCACCCTTCTTGTTTACTTTCCCTCAAATCTCACCCCTCTTCAAATTCTAAGAATGTTATTATTATTAAAAATTGGAAAATAATAAAACGAGATAAATATTCATAAAGCAATGTTTATAATAAATATAAATCCACTTATGTAAAATTTTAACTTTCTCAACATAAATATATAAAATTTCAAATTACTGTCAAACATAAGTACTTTTCAAAAAACACTTACTAATAATAATAATGACAACTATGATTATATATATATATATATATATATATATATATATATATATATATATATATATATATATATATATATATATATATATAACACGACACATCTTATTCTTTTAATGTCTCGTATGATTTGTATCAATAAACACGAAGAAGCTTAATTTAGAGATATTTTGAACAAATATTTATAAATATTTTCAGTAGATGCTAAGAAGAAATAAAACAAAATTCTCTATATATTAAAATTAACTTACATAATTGATTTATAAAAATTCTCTCATATAATTCTTCTAAACGTTTCTATAAACTAATACTTTTAGAAAAATATAATTTTTTTCTTTTTATAGTGAACTTGTCCTCAATAAATTTGACACCAAGATATTTCATTTTCTCAATTTTGTCATAAAACATATTCACCGACAAAAGAACTAGGTAGATTTTTGGATATGGAACCAGTGGTGGCTCTATGATTTAACATATTCGAAGATTGACAAAAGGAAAAAAAAAACAAAAGTTGGAACGTTGCTAAGTTCTGAAGCAAGTTAGGGGACCATTC